TTCTACTTCAGTCCTTATACCCTAGTATCCAAAGACTAGGCAGAGTAATCTGCATGAAATATAAAGCAAATAATTTTATTTTCTTTCCCCATACAAATTCTCCCAAAAGCTCCCACTTTCAGATTAAAAAATTTAAAAAAAAAAACTACATAATTCTTCCATTGATTTTTTTTTTTTGGGGGGGGGGTACTGGGGATTTAACCCAGGGGTTCTTAACCATGAGCCACATTCCCATTCCTTTTTATTTTTCATTTTGAGAAAGTCATATGCTAAGGGTCTTGCTAAATTCCTGAGGCTGGCCTAGAACTTTCAAGAACTCAACCTCCTGAATCCCTGGAATTACAGGAGTGTACCACCAAGCTGGCTTTTCCATGGATTTCAAGACACTGTTATTCTAGCTCCTGAGACCTTTCTGTCTCTATCTCACTTAGCTTCTCTCATGCTCTGCCCCATATAGGTCATGCTTGTGCTCCTTTATGGCACTATGAATTTATCTGGAGCTGCCTAGAATGATCTTACTTCATATCTGGCCTCATGGGTCCCCAGAGAGACTCCCCTCTGCATTCACCCTATCCCACCCCATTCTGCAAGCAAGTTATTCAGGTTATTTCCTTCATAGCAACTTTTTATGATCTAATAAAAAAATTATCCTATGCTTTCATCTGTTACTTCATTCCCCCACATTGGATAGGATATACATTTCCAGAGAACAGGAATCTCACTTCTCTTGCTTGCTAATGTATCTAAGAATCCTAAAACACTGCCTGTGAGAACTTCAAGAAAAACTGAATCTCACCTGGGCACATGGGCCTATGGCTGTAATTCCAGCCCAGCWACTCAGAATCTGGGGCAGGAGGCTTTTAAGTTCCACAGCAGCCTTGGCAAGTTCAAGGACAATCTTGGTTAACTTGCAAGACCTTACCTCAAAATAAAAAATAAAAAGGGCTGGGAGATGTAGCTTCATGGTAAAGCACTCAGGTGTTCACCCCCAGTGCCCCTCCCCTCTGCAAAAAAAAAAAAAAAAAAGGAGAAGTTGAATCTCCAACAAGGGTCCCAAGTGGTACACTGTGCGTAAAATTTTATGAACTCTGTGTTCTTGGAGGAACACTGATCTTTGTGGCCCTTACCTTGATGGCATTTTACTGTTTGGATAAACAGGCTCCTATCTTCTGGCAAGTCAGATTTTGCTGCTGAGACCTACAGTCATAGCAAGTATCAATCAATTAGGACTGGTCAGGATGACTATCCTTCATTAACATAAAACTAATCAATCAGGATTAAGCTTCAAGCATACCTCATTTGCATAGGCAGTGGGAGCTGAGGCAGGAACTTTCTCTAATATACCCCCTCACCCAACCTAGTTCCTTCTAGATATACTTTCCTTTTTCAGTACCAATGGCTGCTTCTTCCCGGTTTGCAAACTTTTGGGGGGACTTTGGGAATGGGGGATAGTTGCTGCTGGGGATTGAACCCAAAGCCTCACACAAGTTTAGCAAGAGACCTTTGGCTGAGCCACACCCACCACATACCACCACCATTCATTCCCCGCCCCGTCTTTTTTTATACAGTCTTGTTAAATTGACCAGGCTGACCTCAAACTTATGTTCCTGCTGCTTCAGCTTCCTCATTACCTGGGAGACTGAGGGGTTGGCTACCACACCAGGCTATTTTCTTTCCTTGCTTCTTCCCCTTTCTTTTCTTTTTTTGTTTTTAATTTAAATAAAGCCTCCTATTTTTCTTGTATTATTTTATTGTGATTTTTGTTACACCTGTCACATAGAATACATTTAATAAATATCTGTAAATAAATTAATATGTTTACATAAACTATTTGTCTTTTAAAGTTCTTAAAAACTTAAAAAATGTAACATTTTTTCTATATTTCATATTTTCTATGTCATTTAATAATCCAAAATGATAGGGCCTAAAAATGTATATTATAACATGGGACTAAAATCAGAAGGCCTGGGCTGGGGCTGGGGCTCAGTGGTAGAGYGCTCATGCATGTGGTGCATGGGTTCGATCCTCAGCACCACATAAAAATAAAAAATAAAGATATTGTGTCCACCTAAAACTAAAAAATAAATATTAAAAAATCAAAAGGCTTAATTGAAGTAGACCAATCCACAAACTGTACCTATAATATCCCCATATCAAAATTCTTCTTGGACTGGGGTTGTAGCTCAGTGGTAGAGTGCTTGCCTTGCATGCATGAGGCCCTGGGTTCAGTCCCCAGCACTACATAAAAATAAACAAATAAAAATAAAGATATTGYGTATCCATCTACAACTAAAAAGAATATTCTTCTTGCTAGCCATGAGTGATAGAGTATGCCTGTAGTGCTAGAGCATCCAAGCAATATGGGAGGTTGAGACAGGCACATGGCAAGTTTGAGGCCAATCTGGCAATTTAAGGAGACCTTGTCTCAGAATAAAAAATAAAAAGGGCTAGGGATATGGCTCAGTGATAAGTGCCTCTGGGCTTAATCCTCAGTACCAAAATAAAAAATCAAAACAAAAACTTTTACTTTGATTACAGAGGAGAGAGGGGCAGGTACTGTTAGAAAGGAAACAAAGGTAGGGGATAGGAAAGGTGCCAATGTGAGTTTATTCCTATGGGCACTCCGTCTTGAAGGGCACCTGTTGGTGAGGAATGCTCCCAAAAGCTACTTTGTATAATCAGCAGAGAGACTAATTATCACAAACTTTTCTCCCTAGAGATAAGCACATTCTTTCCACCTACCACTGATACCTAAGTCTTCATAACCCCCTGTATTGTTACTTCTCTAGGAGAATTTTTGACTGTGTCCCATAAATGTATGGTTCTGTTGCTGAACTGCTACTTAAATGTATTTTAAAAGGCTCTGAGAGTACCTTTAATTGATTAGTTTGTGTACAGTTTGGTGGAGAGAGGAGAGAATAAATGAATATGGTAAGGAGAAAATGAAATTACATCAAACTGGGGGCAGAAACTCCATTTTGAGGAGTTCATTGTCTAGAATATTAAGGGATTTATTTGTGTATTTCACTCATTATGCCACCACCCAACTGTCCACCAGAATAACATAGTTAAAAAAAAATTACTAATCTCTAAAATAAGGAAGAAATAAAGTGAGATTGAAGAAGTAAGCAGGATAGGATAGTTGATTTTAAGAAAGACAAAGTCTAGGGGTAATAGCACAATGGTGGATCACTAGCCTAGCATGTGGGAGGCCCTGGATTCACCCCCAGCACCACAAAAACAAACACATAATTWAAAAAAAAAAAATCAAAGAGAGAAAAATAAGGTTATAGCCTAGGTACTATAATCCCACATTTATTAACTGATGAGAGACTATTTACTTCTGAGATTTAACAGCAGAAAATGTAGTTAACTTGGGAATAGTTTTAATCAAAAAGCAAGTGCTAGACATAGCTAGCATTTGCCTTTCTCTGTACTATATTTATTATAATTCCAACTTGCTAAATTGATATGTCTTCCAGAACACAGTCCCACAACACTTAACACACTCCTGTTCTGTCTCTACAATAACACAGATCTCTCAAAGAAGAGAAAGGAGGAAAAAAAATTAAATTATCCAATTTTTCCAATAGGAGGAAAAAAATCTACCTAGCAGTGACTAGCCACCAGATTATTTTAAGAAAAGAAAAAAAAACTGCACAGGAAATATTTTTAATTAATCTTAAGAATGAATCTTAGCAAGTCACAGCATAATCTGRAGATTTTTTTTTTCAGATGGGAAGAAGCAAGAAGATCTCAGAATATTTTATACAATTTATTTTGCTAATACTGAAGGGAAATCAAAGAAGACTGCAGGTTATAACTGGTAAAGAAGATRAAGAAGAGGCAAATGTAGATACTTTATTATTTACTATCACATTTGACCCCAGCCTCTGTTCGTTTTCACTATCCTTTAAAACTCCCTATTATTTCATTCCCTGAATCACAGCAAATATGTTGAAGAAAGCTCTTAAGAGAGGACAGTTGGCAACAATGGAACAAATGTAATTAACCCTTGTGGATGAGAACTCCTTGCTCTCAATTACTCAAATCCTGGGCTCTGCACAAGTGAATCAACCAGACTTTGCATTTTCTTACAAGAAATTCACATGTATCTTATGTTATCACAACCCATGTAACACATGCACCACATACCTGAGAAAGATCAGCAGTACTGTGGCTTGACAATGATAATCCAGCTGTGCTGATGTTTATTATGAATTATGGATATACCTTTCAAATTACTGTTCTGCAGTATTAATTCCTGGTGAAGGTGAGCTGGGGGAGAAAGCAGACAATGCTGCTTCGTGATAATATTTAGTAAAAAAAAATGAGAAGGGAATGCATTGAAACRGCATTCTAGAGACCATGGAAACCTGTGGCCCACTGGGAACAGTACTTTGTCCTATGGAGCTGCTTCTGAAGGAATGCCTATGACCAGCAAAGTCAGAAATACTGACTTACAGCCACTTTTAAATCTCTCTGATGGGCTGGGGGTGTAGCTCAGTGGTAGAACACTGGTAGGATCTGGGTTCAATCCAAAGCCTCAAAACAAAAAAAATTTTTTTTTTTTTTTTAAAGAGAGAGAGAGAGAATTCTAATATTTATTTTTTAGTTTTCGACGGACACAACATCTTTGTATGTGGTGCTGAGGATSGAACCCGGGCCGCACGCATGCCAGGCGAGCGCGCTCCGCTTGAGCCACATCCCAGCCCTCAAAAAAATTTTTAAAATGTAATCTTAAAATCATTGCTGACTAGAGCTGGCTAGAAAACTACTGAGTGGCCATCTGTTAAGAAAAGGTTTGGCAAATGTACTTAATACTCTATAGTCAAAAAGAAAAGCATGGAAACTGACAAACTGAGCTTTTGAGTGGCCCAGGAGAGGAAGGCTTGTGTCACATGTGTTCATAAATTATAAGGTGACTGGCAGACACATATCACAATTGCTCATTTCAACTGCAATCCACCTCACAAACAGAAGTGACTTCTCCTACTTACATCAAATGGAGCAGAACTTGACTGTGCATTCTGATTACATGGTTCCCTGAAGCAGTCACTAAAAGGAAGTAAAAGACCCATGGCAATGATCCGTGAGCAAAATTTCTCTGCTTCTTCTGGAGGCCCGTTCTCTTGCTGGCTGAAGAGCTTCTCCAGCAGAGTTCGCCCTGCGGATGAAACACGGTCATTAGGCGGGAAACACTGGTAGATCACCTGGCTAGTAGCTCTCCAGGGAAGAGAGGAAGCAAACACAGCAGCACCGTTTCCAAGACTACTGACATGCGCAGAAAGGAGCCTCTCAAACCCGGCAAAACTGCAATCTGAGGCCTGAGACACCACATAGGAAAGGGCAGCAGGGGGTTCCTCTCCCATCCCAATAAATAACTCCTGCTTTGAAAAGAAATGCCCCAAGTTACCAGCTGTACATCCTTCCTCTAAATGAACACCCTCCCCTTTTAGATTTAATTAACAATTCTACTTTCTTTCTTTTTTTTTTTTTTTTGTTTACTCTTAAGAGGGTTCTCTAAGCAAGCCCTTAGTAACCCAAGGAGCCACCATTTGGGCTTAGAAATGTCAGTGACTGACATTCATAGTCTCAGGCCTGGCAATGGGGAAGGATGAGGAATGAAGGCACTAAGGAGACAGGCAAAGACAGCTACCCATGAAAAAGGAAAGAGAGTTTTCTAAGGCAAATGCTTTCAAGTGCTTCTCGGAAGTGTAATTCTACAATGAGTCTAGATTTAAGGGACTTTTATTATTATTTCCCTAAAAGAGACAGAAGAAGAGAGATACAGTGAAAGGACACTGGCCAAGGACCCTAGAGGACATGTGTCCCCCATTCCAAGGTTCTCAATCTTGGCTGTGTTACCAAAAGAGGATGAGGTTTTGATAAAAAGGAAAAAGAAGGTTTACTGCTTTGCTACCAAAGGAGAATCAYAGGAGACTCCTGTCCCAGAGGCTGTGATTCTGCCCATCAGGGAGAACACAGAATTTTTAAAGACTCACTCCTGGTGTTCCCTGTGGGGGAATGTGATTCACTTGTTAATTGGGGAGATAGTGATTTCTTAAGGTGTTTCTGGCCCTATCCCAGAAGTCTGAATTACTTTGTTCCTGTGGTGGGTGTGTGCTGGAAAGCAGATGGATGGGAAAAAAAGGTAATCTTGTTCCCCTGCCCCCAGGTTGTGGAAGGAGAGAGGGAGAAGAGGAAAAGAAAACATGCTTATTTTACAATCAGCCTCACTGGGAGATCAGCAAGGGTTATATTTGAAGTATGAGGTGGGCCACCATTACATTAGATCACCTGGGGAGAACAGAATTGTTGAAAGCCTGGGTATCCGTATTTTATTGGTCAACGGTTGATTTTGCCAGATGTGAGAACCATAGATGCAATTCCTAATCTATTCTTCAAAAATGTATGTACCTTGTGTCTGCATTCATAAACTACAGCAAAGAAAATGCAAAATCTCAGGGTCCCTTCCAGGGTTACAGCTGCTCCTCGGTTGGTTCTTGCACTAATGCTGTCCCTCCCTCTAATTTCTAATTAGTATATTATTTTTCAATTTTAGATAAAGATTACTGATCCAGAAAATCCTTCAATGACCTCCTTCCATACCCTTTTGTAACCCTTAATAAAAGCTCCTTTAGATAACCATTTTAATTAATGAAGTGATCGTAAAACCTTTTATTTTTTAAATGTCCATTTGTAACAATGGTCCACATTAGGCTTTGAATATAGCCCTTGCTGCTCTGCCACTGTTGACTTCTTTTTAAAATGGACACATTTATTTCTCTTCCTCTCTCCTGGCTCCTCCCTATTCTTCCCACCCCACCCCAGCCCCAGCCCAATCTCAAGGGAAACAGGATTACCTTTCTTCCTATCCTAGCCAGAGTTATTTGTCCTTGAGCACACACCCATCACAGGAACAAATTAATTCAGATTTTTTGGGATAGCACCAAAAAATCACAGAAATGACTATCTCTGCCAGGCACAGGGGCACACACCTGTAACACCAGTGATTGGGGAGGTGATTTCAAAGTCAGCCTCAGCAACTCAGTGAGAGGCCCTAACCGACTTAGCGAGATCCTGTGTGTCTAAATAAAATATAAAAAAAATGGGCTGGGGTTGTGGTTCAGTGGTTAAGTGCCCCTGGGTTC